AGTGCTTTATTTAGCCTATACATAAGATATCATTTTTCAGCATGAGGAATGATGGTCTTAAAACAGGCCACTTATTATTCTCCATAGACTGTTGGATTTGTGTGGGAAGACACAGACTGTCACTTTTCTTAGCTTCTATCATTTTGTGATTGAAAACATTTGTGTCCCTTCATTTCATGGCATTAGTACAGCTCAAGGCTCTCCTGCTTCATATGAACAAAGTTAAATGTCATCTCAGTTACCAGAGGTAAAGCAGTGAAAGAAACTGAGCTCATTTTATTGAAATATGGATTGATTTAAATAAGAGATTAACTCTGATGCAAACCATCAGTTTGGAAGTGCTATGTGTTTTCCATTCACACAGATCACAGCAGATGAGTTCAAGACAGTTATTAATCATTAGCCTAATTAATGTTATATATGTCTGTAAGATGAGGCTACAGTTGCAGAGAAAACGACCATACTCTTCCTAAACACACCTTATATCCACACACCACCATGGTGGCCCAGCTTTACTAGTGGCATGGACTATACTGGAAGTGTTCAAGGTCAGGTTGGATGGGGCTTTGAGCAACCTGATTTACTGAAAAATGGCACTGCCCATGGCAGGAGGGTTGGAGTAGATGGTCTTTAGAGGTCCTTTCCAACACAAATCATTCTGTGATTCTATGATATCTCACTCCATACAAGTGGGAGCAGCAATTCCAAATCCTGCTTCTTCAGATATGCAGAAATGCACCAGACAACATATTTGCATCTCATCAGGTATGGGGTATATGGTAGTGGCTGTTTCTTGGAGCTCCACAAACTAGTGCATTGGAGGAATAGTTTCTCTTAAATTCTGTCATGATGCTGGCTGGCTTATTCCTGCAGTTGTACCCTGATACATTATACAGCACAGTCTGTCCCTGCTTGATTTTGGTACTGGTTACACTGTTCTTTCACTTCCAAGCCAGGAAAGGTGAGGACGCAGAATGAAAGACTATAAAGAAGTACAAAACAGGACAAGAATAAGAGCATAAACTGATTCTGATATCTTTAGAACAGAGAGGTAACTTTGAAAACGTAGGAAAAGATGACATACACAAAGCTGTAGAGGTAACAAAGGTAAACAGAAAACTCCTTGCTTTTGCTCAGAACAAATACGTGTTACAAAACCAAATATAAACAACACATGACAAAATCCTTGCTCTCAGGAATTTGCCACACTAAATCAAGTGCTGGTTTGCATTTTCAGGGATTCAAATAGATCTGTTATTTCTGACCCACCTAGTAATTTATTTTTTATGAAGAATGGGCTTTTTCAAAGGACAATTGCTCAGAAAAGAACTTGGGAACAGCTCTTTGAATAACAGCAGAAATATAAAATTTTATTTCTAAAATTCAAAGTAAAAACTCTGGGAAAACTTTTTTTTTTTTTTTTAATATAAAATGTGTCCAAAACTGGGCCTTAATGCTGAAATCCATAAAAAAAAAAAAAGGCAGAGTCCTTACAAAGCCCTGCATTTGCCATCTTTACTCATGCTAGGTTGGACTTTTTTTTTTTTCCTATTTCCTTTTCTTTTTAAATAGCTCTACAGAGACAATGGAGTTGGACAGAAACAGAGAGATTAATGTGGTCTGGAAGCAGAAAGGTTTTGCCATCTCTTGAGGTTTTCAGAGAATCCCAAAAGAACTGATAGATTGTTACTAGTCCAGATTTCAAAACTTACATAAAAAGAGAAGGGAGTCTCATGGAGAACAAGATGAATACGAAAAATATTTAAAAAGGAAAGCTGCAAAACTGCGTTTCAACTAAACGGATAAAGTAACTGCAGTTAGTGATACTGAAGGACATGCTGTCCCAAAGAGATGCATGCTGAACCACTGGCCATAGATTCTACCATTCATCTCATTTTAGAAAACACATTTCAGATGGCACATAATGAATGAGCCTTCTGTGTATGAAGCTTTGGCAGGATCTGTTTGAAGCTGGCAACAGCCTGGGGAACTTGTAGATTTACTGAACATTTCTGCTGATATGGAGAGATCAGTCAAGAGTATGTTCAGGGGTCCTCCCTAACTTCCAGATCTGAACCTACAGAGGCCTCTACTCCAGATGTAGTTGAACAGGCAGAACTGTGCAAGTGTCAGCATAGCTGCTTCTGTTACAGAAAGTTATAGTACAAAACATGCCTTTGCTAGCATGACTGCAACCCCATCCAAGTATCTTCCCATTACAAGATGACAGTGGAATTCCTATTTGATCAGGCAGGTTCAGCTAACGATTCAGTCTTTGCCCAGTGCTGGTGAATGTTATATTAGCCTGATTAGATGTTTGCAATCATGTTCTATCAATGCAAAACTGGAATAAGGTAATGAAGAACCAAATCCTCTATTTTACAGAAATGACAGTTTAAAGCATCTTAAGATAATGCTTCATTAGAATTATATAAACCAGGTATTTTTCTTCTACAACATTGTAAACCCCAGGGAAAGCTTTTCTTCCCACTTTTTCTTCCATCTTTTCCACATAGAAGCATGCTGTGACACTGCAACCTTGCAATTTTATACAAAGTATTTAATATTTCTGGTTGTGTGCTGAAAAATAAGGAGCACTCCCTTGCCACCAATGAAGCCTCCCATCTATTTGTGTCCTTTGTTAACTCCCAGCATCTGGTGTTTTAAAAGAGATAGCTAAGAACAATGGGATAAGTAGTGGAGTTTTCCTTCAATAAGAAATCCACATCTTAAGCACAGCCAGGAGGGAAACAGATTTACACTGTTTAAAATCCAAATAGAATAGCTTCTTAAAGAGTTTTAAACATAAAATGCTTTAAGTTAAGGAAAAAAAAAAGGCAGCTGGAAGATGTTAACTTAGCTTCTAATTGAAACAATGGTGCGTTTTATTTCATGTTCGGATTTCAACAGACTCTTAATTAGACTTTTTACCATGCAGTTTTCATTTAAAAATATCTTGATGACATTCTGGTCATCAAGAAGATCCTGGGAGACTTGACACCTGTTACTCCTTGGAAGAACATTCATCCAAAAAGGCAGGGAGTCAAATAATACTCCCCAATTCATAGAATAAATGTTAAGTCAAAATATCCAGAGTGTAAAGAATAACTAAAGGGGAAAAAAAAACCTCTGGAAAATACTTTGTGTGGTCCAGACTTAGTGATGATAAGCAGATAGCAATGCTCAAAACAAAAGGCAAAAAACACATGGGTTGCCTGCTATGCTGTGGAAAACTAACAGAATATTTACAATGTGAATATATAGCTGGTAAAGTCTCTACTATGTAATTTCCTAAGGACATGAAAAAATGTTTACATATTCTCTGAAAAGCTGTTTAGTTATTGAAAACAGCATTTGCAACACAATTTTCCATATAGTAAGAAATTAGCATACAAGACCAAATGCTTTCATGTGGATTGAAACATGCAGTCAGAATACATCACTTCATTGTTTGAAACACTGAATAAGGAATTTTCATAAATGGCATTGCTATGACTCATCTTGCTATAACTTCTTGAAGTAAAATTAGTAAGTAGACAGGATTGAAATGAGTGAATTAAAGAAAGAATACCATCTTATACTGAAGTTACAACCTTTAGATGGAACTTCAGACACTAGAATAGAACAGATCAGAACAGAGCAGTTGGAAGGGACCTGCAACAATCATGCAACTGCCTGACAGGTGAACAAAAGTTAAAGCATCTTACTAAGGGCATTGTCCAATGTTAGGCATGGGACATTGATCACCTCTCTAGGAAACCTGTTCTAGTGTTTGACTGTCTTCTTGGCAAAGACATTTCCTAATATCAAGTCTGAACCTTCAACAATGCAGCTTGGAACCATTCCCATGTGTCCTGTCACTGGACACCAGGGAGAAGAGATCAGCACACCCTTCACTTCTCCTCATACTGATCAAAATAAACTGAGTTTGTCTCCTGGGCTCTATTGACATGGACAGAATTAATTTTCAGTGCTGATTTTAAAAGTAAAAATAAAAAAGGATAAAAGTGTAAAGCAAGAACATCATCAACAGAGCTTGAGATGCATTGCTAAATTATAAAGAGAGAGGGGACAACACTTTGGTACTCTGCAGTAACTTATTTTTGTAACCTTTGGGAGAAAAGAAAGCTCCCAAATCTTCTCTCTCTTCTTAAAGACAAATATTGTTTGTTTTGTTATGTATACTTAGAAATAAAACCATTAATTGCAATCTTGTCTGAGTTAGCTCCATCTTTTATGTGAAGAAGGTCCATTTTGGGATTCTTTAACAGATCAAAGTGAAAGGGGCTTAAACTGTTATTGCTCCAGCATTTTTCTGTCACATTTTAGCTGAAGTTTACTGTCCCAAAAGTGGAATTCTCATATGAACACTCCTAGGAGGTTTCAGTACAAAGTCAGTGGAGTCAGCTTAAACTATCTTAAAACAAATTTGGATGACTTTACACTTATGTGAACAACTTACTTAGACACTTTTAGCTTCACAGCTGTGTCAACAGAAACTGCAAGAAATAACTTCTCAGCTTCTATAACTAGATGCAGAAAAAAATCACCTGTATATGCCTTCAGTGCTTGGAGTGAGGAAAAATAAAAAAAGATGTGACAGAGATTGTGGTCACATGGCTAGAAGCTCTGTCTCAGGACAAATTAACATCTGTTAATGGAAATTCAAATTAATCAGAAAGTGAACAAAAATATATAAAAAAATGTAAAAATGGGGAGAGCTTAGACATCTCTCTTCTTGTTTTGGTGATTGTGAAAAGAAAGCCAATACCAAATCTCCAAACCTATAAGACTTTTGCACTATTTTTCTCACCACAAATATAATAAGGTGCCTTTTGATGCAAATCTCTGGCAAAATTCACAGAGTCCATGTTCTTTATCGTATGGACTATTGTAGAAATATCGTGTCAAAAAACATCACAGAAAATACAACCTGCCTCACAAGGAGATTGAGCCCTGGGAGAGAGCTTGGTGCCCCTGTTGTACCTGCAATGTTTTACTCTTACCTAGAGCTGCCCTCTGAATGCGCCTCTGAGTTATCTCTCCTTTCAGATGGTCTGTAAAAGACACAAAATGTGAATAGTTAGAATTCAAAACGCCACAAATCAAGGAAGTAATTGCTTATTTCCTACCACTTGCTGATCTTGAAGGTCCCTTCCAACCTAAAGGATTCTATGATTCTATGATTTGAAAACCCCTGTGCTGCTGGACAGTTCTAAGGGAATTTTTTGACATCCATAGGACAAGTAGTTTTCTGAGGTTTCTCCCACTTCTGCAAGTAAACAAACAGGCATGATCTGGTTTTACATATTTAAAGATTTAACTTTGTCCAGTAAAAAAGACTGAAAATGAAGCTATTGAATGTCAAGCACTTTCACAGGATAATGATCTGCTGCTGTATTATACAAAAGAAGTCCAAGTGAGGCTAGAAGACATACAAAATTCCAAGTATTTGTTCATACAGACTTATTGGTGCTAGTGGTGGAATTCAGATATTAGGTCATCCAGTCTACATTTTTACCAGTGAAGAATTGGTTCCCTACAGTTATTTTTTTCCTGTCCACCCAGCTCAGTTTTAAATACCCCATGTGCTAGAGCTTCTGCAAGTTCTATTACTCAACAGAACTCACTGTGTAGATGTCAATGATCTTCAATAGAAATTTTTCTTTAATTCCATTATCTCATTATTCCTCGTTAGGCTCCCATGCCCCACATAATTCACCTTTACCCTTCTATTAATTTCCTCCTTGATCTATGACACTGTTCCAGTTCATCAATTATTTCAAGCCATAATTAGATTACCACATGGGAAGCCATTATTCATAGATGTTAATGGAACCAATAAAGGAAAAACATAACCCTAAATGTGCAATTTCAGCAGTATATGTGTTCTGAGGGAGGGGAGGATTGTGCCTTTCAAGTTTTCAAATTAAAACAACTACTAATCAGGGACTTGTTCATAATCTTTACTGTACATCTGGATATCAGTGAAAGAAAAAAAAATCCATGCTAGATTCACTTCCTCCCCACCCCAAACCTATTTTATATATTAGTATGCATTCTGAATTAAAAATATCCTGTTGCTTACCAGTGAAGACTTACAGAATAAGCTAATCAGAGCAAATTAAGTCATTAAAAGATGTTAAATGTTTAACTGGAGAATGTCAAAACCTATTTAAATTCACAGATAATGAGAATTAGATTGTTCTAGAGACACTGTAGAAACATGAAAAATTAAACTCATTTGGGAATTATAAGGATAATTCTTAAGTATTTAGTAGAATTGCAGAAAAGGTACTGTATGCAACACATTGCAATATAACAGCCAAATTATGTTGTTTTGAATATTTTTAGACAACAAAGCAAAACAAAACCCCCTACCTACTCCTTGTCTATAAACTAGAAATTGCAGGTTCTTATATTCATTCAAATTTTTATTCTTTTCAGTTATCTCTATTTAAACCAATTAATTCTTCTGTACTTAAAGTTATCTGTAAAATTAAGAAAAGCCTTCAGCTACTGAAAAAGAAGTGTAGTGTAAAAATATTCAAGTGGCAACAGGGTCAACTGAAAAAAGGAAACAAGCCAAACAAGTCAATGAAAGTAAGATTGAACAGAGAACAGCTTGCAGTCAATACAAATATGTGGAAAGAGAAGAATATGGGGACTGTTTTTTAAACAATTATAGCTAAGAGGATTGACTGATTTCAATTAGCTAGAATTTACTGTCAGTACAGGAGGGACAGAGAGCACCGAGGCTGCAGAAGCCCTAGTTCTATTGCAAGCTTTGTGAGGCCAGCTCCCAACGTGGAACTGTTGCAAATGCTCCTCCATCCCTTCATCCTAGCCTTTGCACAACTTCTGTTCCATCCATGACATGGACCATGATGTTGTTAGAAACCTCATTCTTCCTCTATTTGGTGCCTTTAGGAAAGAATGAGAATTTGGAACCAGGCCACCTGTAATCAGAGAGGAACCAAAGAAAATTTCTACTTTGGCTAGAAAAATAAAAATTGAGTCTTACCATTCTTACACCAAGAGAGTTTTCTTTTTCTTTTATAAATACAAATAGAAAGCTGACATGCAATTCACATAACCCAAACTGCCTTTTCAGGGCAGCAAAGACTGAACTTCATTTTGCAAAAAACTTCCTGAGGAGAAACTGTAATTGCATTATTGGAAAAGTAGCCCAAAAAGGAATTCTGGTTCAGAGGACATGATGGTATCATGAGGCACCTGACTATAATTCCATACTGAGACTTAGCCAGAAATGATTTAATCTTTCAATTTCTTTTAATACAATTTGAAATTTGACAGTTTATTTAGATTTCCTGTGGGGGAAAAAAAATGCTTTTCATGTAGAAACACTTATTTTTGACAAAATCTTAATGTTTTCTGTGTATGTTTTTGATTAAAGTAATCCCGTTCTGTTTTCAAATACTTCTGGGGGAGAATGAAAGTTTCTGACCTGCTCTACTTTTCTGCCTCTGAGAATATAATCACCCCAGTGCAAGGCTTCAAGTTCATAAGTGACAGAAGTAGGGGATGAGTCCAGTACTGTTCCTGCACAGACCTTCCCATATAAACAAGTAGAAGATTTCAGTCTTTAGTACTGCCAGTTCTCCAATCTTCATAAACACAAATATTTACCCAAAGAAATATGAAGAATCACATTCTCATATAAAAAATAAAGAACAACCCAAGCGTGTTTTGTGATTCCAACAGTGTAAAGTTGTGGACAAGGTAGTGCTTAAATGTGGTTTGCAAAAATTGAATTTAAGACTTGGAGAACATCTCTCAACATATGGCTAATTATGTTTTCTGAAGTTTCACCAAACAAGAAGCTAAAAATAGGCCTGCAGCTGATACCAAGTAATTTTTTCCAGTGGAGTCATTCTTCATTTGCAGATAACAGTCCCAATAAAATGTTGAATGCTACAACTCCACATGTTTTGGCAAAAAAAGTAGTTTTGGGGAATTTAAGAATTCACTCAGCATGCAGCCAGCTGTCATTAAGGCTGTGATAAATCTGTTGGTTTTGGCCTGTGTTTCTGGACACACGTACCAACCTGAGGTATAGAAAAGAGATGAACTGGTAACACAGAACTTCAGCTTTGTGACAGGAGACAAAAATAAAGAGGGAAACAGAGAAGACAGAATGGAATAGAGAAGTCTAATTAAGACTGATGTAAAGCAAAGGAATGTATCCTAGACGCTGACTAAATATGTCAGGATCCATAACTTGAATAGTATGGCTGTCCTTTAACTTCTTGTCTTTGCGTTCTTTCAGACTTTTTCAAGGAGCTGAAATTATCTTCCAATTTATTATAGACAATGAATGCTTTGACAATAGTGCAATATGCTTCAGGGCAATACAAAAGTGAGAATGTTACAATTAAAAATCTATTGATTTTTAAAAGTGTTTTGGTTTTGTTTGAGTCCATGTTAGTTTCTAAAGCTATTCTTATGTTTTATCAGACCTTCAGTAGAATACTGTTAGAAGGTTTCAAAGACTGCTAAACTAAAGGATAAAAATGCTGGACAAGCTAAGAGTACACAGACAACATTAACTCGGTCTCTTTGAGACTATTTGTTGTTAATGACGTAGGGTCTCTTCTGACTTAATAATTGACAGGCCGGAACCTTTATCAAAGATCTGTTATTTCTTGTTACTTTTTAATACTTTCCTATTATTTTCTAATGTCTATGTTCTGCTTAAGCAGTCTTTCCATCCAGGGGATCATGAAACCTTCACACCTCAGCTAGAATGCTCTCTCTCTTTCTTTCTCCATTTTTAAATAATATTTGATGTTACAAAAAACACCTAGAAAAACACCTTCTTATGCATCCAGGGAACCTCTGATTCCTGGAACTCGTCTTCCAGGGCATTTTGGGTCCCTAATCATGTTATATGATTTAAGTGTTAGATCTATCTTTTTTGTTTTTTCTGCTTTTCACAGCACTCCATTAGCGAGTAGGCTGGGGGTGCACAAGAAATTGGGATGGGACACAGCTGGGACAGCTGACCCCAAATGACCAAAGGAACATGCTCTACCATATAATGTCATGTTTAGCAAAAAAAGCTGTGGGGAACAAAAAGGAAGGGGGGACTTTTGGACTCATGGTGTTTGTCTTCCCAAGTAACCATTACGCATGACGGATCCCTGCTTTCCTGGACATGGCTGAACACCTGCCTGCTGATGAGAAGTGGTGAATAAATTCCTTGCTTCATAGCACATGCAGCTTTTACTTTATGTAGTAAACTGTCTTTGTATCAACTTATCAGTCCTATCACTTCCACTCTTCCAATTCTTTTCCCCATCCCACCAGGGGCACGTGAATGAGTAGCAGTGTCAGGCTTAGTTGCCAGCTGGGGCTGAACCATGACAGGAAACATGTGGGGTTGCTGTCTGTAATGCAGTGCCCTGACATATGCAGCCGGACCCAGCTATCACCCAATATGAAGACCTACTCAAGATTTTGAATCTGTTAAATTTGATTCATAAAGTTGCATGCATCCACTTCATCATTCTGCTGAATGAGCACAAATTAAAGCTGTATACTCCACAAATAATCACTAAGATAGCCTTTCAGAGACAGAGGAGGGTAATCACAGAACTGCCATGAGCCTTGTAGAGATATACTTTTAGCTGAGCTTGGGGTCAGAGTTGTAACAACTTACAAAGGATTTCTGAAAGTAGGAGACATTGAACCCAAATGGAGATAATTGAATGGAATTCTCAAATGGAGAATTTTCAAACAGGTATAGTTAATAGAAATCTTACCAGATGTGTTAGATACTTTTGAAAATCTCTTGCTGAAACTGTATAAGTAGAGAATAAAAAGTATCTGACATGAAGAGTCATGGAATAAAAAAAGACTCTGTTCTTACTCAAAATGTACAACACTAAGAGCAGATAAACTGTTCAGCCTTCCTTTACCCACAGTAATATTTGGCCAAAATCTACTCTTCTTTGCAACATTTGTCCTTTTCTGATGGCAAAAAGATGTCAACTGGCTCTATTAGGACAATGTGCAAAGGCAAAGGAGTCTGTCC